TTGTGAGTTCCTAGTGGGGAGTGACGACCTCGTCTCTGTACCCACTACGCATACACAAGCAGGCCTTGGAGACTCTGCAGGTCTCACGATTAAGCAAGTGACAGGTTTTTGGTGTCCCGGTGCTGAGGAAAGTTAAACAGAAGACATTACACCGCAGGAAGAAAATGTTTGAAATACTGTGAGAATGACCAAAGAGGGACCCCAAGCCAAGAAGTGGAAATGGTGCAGAACACCAAACTTTCCATTTCTTTTTTTTTTTTAAAGGGGGTGGGGGTGGGGGAGGAGACACAGGGTCTGTGAAGCACACCTGCAAAAGTTAGAGACTAAAATAAAGCAAGTTAGGAAAAGCCTGGCTGTGGGTTCTAAGTGAAGATACAGTTTCTCCTGGGTCCCAGGACTCAAACCGTATTGTGTAAGGCAGCATTCCTCAACTTACATGGGCCTGGACTAGTCTGGCAAATGTTATCTTTTCACTATTTTCTACAAAGCAAACGTTTTCCACATATTTCATGGACGGAGGGTTACCCTAGAGAACAACCTTCCGGAAACCTCTATCCCAAGGCTACCTCAGAGGTCCCAAGTTACAGTCACCTCAATTGTCCAGTTCAGCAGAAGCCCATTTCCAAGACAGCTACTGCCTAACTATAAATAACATAAAAAGGTGACCCCGCTTTCCCAGCCCCTTCCACCCAAGCCTCCTGGTGGGAAGAGGTCATTAAAGAGGTAAAGAAGTGAAACCAATCCCAGTCATCAACAACTCTCCACTAACTGCTCAGAATCTGTGTGGGAGACTTCCATGTGTGGCATTCCTTAAAATGTGAAGAGGGCGAGAACCATGACCTACGTGCTGCTGCACATGGCTCCACTGTGGGGCTGGAGAACGCACCCAGCCAAGCCAAGAATGCATCTATTTATCATTTGTCAAGCAGGCATTAAGAGACTCTCATAAGTCATATTCTGCAGTGAATAGATTGGAAACTTGGGTTCATAACAGGATGTAGAACTGAAATGCTGTGTTAACCAGCCTGCTGCGTCCGCCCGTCCGCCCATTAACTCTCGTCAGTGTGTGCTGCTGGGCTGGTGCAGACTCGGGACTCTCTGTACAACAGCATGAAATACACCACCCACGCTCTCTTCCTCCAGAGGGGCTGCCCGGTTTTTTGACTCTACTCTACCACAGACTGGCCCTTCCTGATCATCACGCCAGGTTCTGTTGTTCTTGTTATTGTTAGAGGAGCCCTGGTGGCACAGTGGTTGTGTGTTGGGCTGCTAACCTCAAGGTCAGCAGTTTGAAACCACCAGCTGCTTCTCAGGAGAAAGACGGGCTTTCTACTCCTGTAACGAATTACAGTCTAGGAAACCCAGAGGAAATTCTACCCTGTCCTACCGGGTTACTCTGAGTGAGCATCGACTCCATGGCAGTGAGTGTCTTGGTTTTTTGTTAGGTAACCCTCGAGTCTGTTCGGACCCATCGTGACAACACTACGCACAACACTGCCTGGCCCTACACCATCTTCCCACTGCTCCTATGCTTGAGCCCATCGTGACAGCCACCAGGTCACTCATCTTGCTGAGGGCCTTCCTCTTTTTTCACTGCCCCGCTAGACACTGGCACATTCCAAAGGAACCTTTGCAGTCCAATGGGGTACCCCAGTGTTTCCCACAGCGGGAAATAGAGGGGCTAGATGTAGGGAAAACAAGCACCCTCACATGTCCCATCCATTCCCCCACCCCTCCCCTTCAGGGTATCGTGCCAGAGCTGACCACCGGGAACACCTTATCACTAAGGCTGTTTCCAGGCAGCAATCATGGGATGGATGCCCTTGGAAGAGCAGTTCCCAGGGAGGCAGCAGCCAGAACACCTGGCCTGCGCCTGCCTCACAACCCCCTCCCCCCGGCAAACATTATAAAACCCTTGCCTGCTCAGCTGTTAGAAGCCACCAGGCTGCTCCAGGGGGGAAAAGATAGTCTTCAGCTGCCATGAATATTTACGGTCTGGGACGCCCACAGGGAAATTCTCCTGTCCTCAATCAAGGGTCGCTCTGAGTGGGCATCTACTCAATGGTAGTGCCTCACCTCCACCCTTAGGCAGGGACCCCCTTAGACAGGGGCAGACAGGTGGGCTCAGAGAAGTTAATCCGGGGTGTTTTCTGCCCTGTCATCTACCCCATTTTGCTTGGAGGAAAGGCAACGTCTTCCTCGCCACTACCCTGCTGCTGGCATCTCAGCTGCCTTGTTACTTACCCCAGGCACACACAAACACCGATCCCCCCACCTCCGGCAGTCAGTCCTGGTCAAAGACCCCGAAAGAGTTAAACGTTTTGCACAGTTGGGAACACAGAATAGCCCACCTCACAGGCGGGGAGGAGGGATGACCACAACTTCCCCTGTGCTTAGTTCCTCCCCCAAAAGCTGTTGAGCCTCAGCTGGAAACAGCTGGCAGGAGGCAGTTCACAGGAAACCAACGCAAAAAAAGCATGGCGTGTACCAGGGGCAGTTAGGCAGCCTGCACCCAGAGGCCAGGGGACAGACAGGAAGTGGACCTTAGAAGAATCTAGGCCACAGACATGGTAGAGGAGTCCCTGCTGGCCTTTCTCTCAGCCCAAGGAGGAGAAATAAATGCCTGGAGAGCCAGTTTCGAGGGCTCGAGGCCCACTGCATGACCACCTCTGAACTGAAGTCTTCGCCTGAGTCCCAAAGGCACTCCCCGGTGCTCTCATGGCTTTCTGTGCCAGAGGACACAGCCCAGACAGCTGGCTCTGAGTCACTCTTGTCTATCTGCACCAAGCGCCACACTGCCAACTACATTCGGGGGTCTGCCAAGCAGGCCTCACACACACCACAACCTCTTTGAGAGAAATCATCAGACCAAGCAGGACCAGTGGGGAGACCAGTGGCTCCCCAGGAACAGAAAAGTCAAAATGCTAGCAGCCCTGCTGCTTACAGGGGCAGGGAAAGCCTCTTGCACTGAACCGAGCTTTTTGTTATCCAGAAAGTTCGGTGAGCAGTGGCCAGTGGCCAAGCCATTTTGTGGAAGAAAATGGAAAGAGAAACAAAACACAGAAAGACATCAGTACAATTCTTTGGTGTTACTTCATAATGAGCTCTTGGGTTATCCACACTGAGAGCAAAGGGCAGGCTGGTTTATTTTTCCTTCACAGAACTTAGGTGAGGTCGCAGGCCTCCTGCTAGTCAATCACTCCATCACATCTGGGAGTTTGTAGCTAAATAAAACGCAGGTTGTCTTCTTAATACACTTTCCGGGCTGTCACCTTGCAAAGCAGCCTATGCTGTGATCTGGTTGGGTCCCCTTTCGATTCTTAAGGCAGGAATCCAGATTTGAGGCTGAGTAAACAAGATGGAAGAACACTGGCCAGTGGTTCAAACCCCACTAGCTGCTCCTTGGTTAGAAGATGAGGCACCTGTCTCTGTAAGGATGAAAGCCTTAGAAAACCTGTGGGGCAGTTCTACTCTGTTGGTAGGAATCAACTCGACATGGGGTGGGGGATGTGTGTGAGTGTGCTCTGTGTTTAAGCCAGGGATGCAGAGCTACAACGCAGACACCATTTGTTCTTATGAAAAAACCAGAACATCCTCCCCAGGCTCAATGCCAGCTCAGACTGACAAGCACAGTGGACCTGACCAACATGCCACAAAAGGGGTGAAGGAGAGGTGAAGGCAGGACTCCTTGGGGGGAGGGGCAGGCTATAGCCATGTGGCAAACAACTCTCCTCAAGAAAAGATGGAGGGGGGGTGTAAAGGGGGGTAAATGCGCATGCACATTTCAAGAACATAACAAAGGAACGAGTTGGCGAATCACTTCTTCCAGAGGGGGAAAATGCTGTCCAGAGCCAAGTATCCAGTGTTTTCCCGTCAGGCAATACGGAATGTTCGCACTTGGCTATACTGGAGGCTCACAGCGCTTCCTAGGAAATCAGTGAAGAGAGTGGGTAGGAATAAGCCCCCCTCTTCCTTCCGCTGCTTCTAGAGACTCCCAGGAAACTGTGCCAGTGTTGGGGCGGCCACTCCCGAAATAACCCCGCTCAGCAGACACTGCAGCGCCAGCCTGGCCAGAGTTATGCTCAGGCCGTTGGGGCTGCTGGCCCAGCAGGAGCTGCTACTGAGCAGGAAAGTCACCTGAAGTAAAAGTCCCATGGACACCTAGGGACACGGGGGTGGGGTGTTGGCGGGGGTGTGACCATTTAAAGGCCCCAGGACTAGGCATTTCTTCCTCTTAGAGAAAAGAGACGGCCACAAGAAGCCGGTTCACCCACTTGCGAGGCTGGTGTCCAAGAAGCCAGCTGAAACCCTGCCATTGTCCTCACACAACTGTTTCAGGGCCGAGGCCGCTCCCTCGGACCTGCCAGCAGGGCAGACGCACCTCCAACCGCTGTTGCTCCAGCGGCGGCGGCTTCCAAAGAGGCTCCCAAGGCCTCCTCCCACCCAGTCCCGAGACATGGGGCAGAGGGGGGCTGCCTGCTTCTGCTGGCACAGGCAGAAAAGCAGCCAGGGTGTTTCGGACAGGAGTGTGCCAGGCACGAGAGGTGCTAAGTGGCCGGAAACAGCATGCCCTGCAGCCCCACCACCCCAGGTGGCCCACCGGCTGTCAAACCCTTTGTAAAGGAGCCACCGCGACAGGTGGCCGAGCCCCCTCCCCAACTACACTGCTGGCGGGGGTGGGGGGGGGTGTCTGTTTGCACAAAGCATCTGAGAGAGGGGGGTCAACGGGGGTGGGGGGCGGTGAGGCCGGTCTCTACCCATCTTTCTGCTCCCAAACATGAAGGTGGGGCGAAGACCCAGAATAGGAAATGAAGGGCCCGATCCCGGCCTCTATCTTCCCGGGGTGGGGGGGGGAGCGTCCCCCCTGACCGGCCCGAAAGCCCTCTTGGACAGGGCGGACCCAAAGCGCCCAGGCCAAGCCTGTGGGTCCTCCTCCTTTTTGTGTCCTCGCCGGAGGAAGGGGGAGGGCAACACAGGGCAGCTGGGGTCGCAGGCCCTACCTGTAGGCCAGGGACATGCACTCGAAGAGCTTGGTGAGCGAGGCGTCGATGGACAAGTGGCAGGAGCTGGTCTTGCCGAAGCTGTAGGTCTGGCATGTCTGCTTGTTGACCGTGTCGAAGTCGTAGCCCTTCTTGGGTGGGTGCTCGCGGTGCGGCGACGACACCATGAAGTGGCCGCTATGGATGATCTGCTGGCGGCGCGGGAGCTCCTCGC